CTTGACAGAGCACACTCATCAGGAGGCGGTATTATTTTATTAATTCGATCTGAGTTGGCTTACCGTGAAATAAAAAATTTTGACTTACCTGACAGTGCTTTCGAAATATGCGGAATTGTAATCAATAACGTCGAACCGGCTCTAAGCTTGATTGCATGCTAGAGAGCTCCAGATCTCGTCATTTCACTTGAAGAATGGGATAAGATCTTTATGAATTTTAAAAATGAAAAAAATTGCTTAGTTGTTGGTGACTTTAACGCTGATCACGTCGATTGGAATTGCAATAAAACCGATTCTAACGGAGAAAATGTACTCGAGCGTATCTATAAATTTAATTTTTTCGTTCATAACAATGATACGTACATTGATTCTACATCTACTTCTAGTATTAATTTAATTTTGTCGAGCAAAAATATAGCTGAAAGAGTTGATGTTCAAGTAAATGACGAGACTTGGGGATATGATCACTATCCAATCTATGTTAACTTTAGCGCAGAAAAACATATTTATCATAAAAAAAGTTACAAAATCAGATCCACTCAAACTAACTGGGACAACGTTGTTTAAATTCTTTCGGACTCTTACATAAATTTCCTAACCAGCGAATACGAACATTTAAGCGCAAGTCATAAATATGATTATTTCATCAATCAAATTACGACCGCCGTCACTAACAACACACCTAAAAAGAAACTTATAAATATTAAAATTCACCGTAACCCTGTAAGATGGTGGGATGAAGATTTAAGAGATTAAAAAGCAGAGGCAATTGGCGTTCAAAAAATGGGAAAGGACTAAGGATCTCGATGATTTTATAGAATATAAAAGACTGCTTGCTATATCGAAAAGAACTTTTAAATGGAAAAAGAAAGAAAGTTACGTTAAGTTTACGAATACCATCAGCTTCTTAACAGACGGGCGATACATCTGGAATACTAGTAAAATTCTTAAAAATAAATGGATTAAAATTAACGCTTCTCACGTCCCTGAAAATTTGCAGCTAGACAAAAAAATGGAAGCTCTTAATAAACTTTGCCCCTCGATTGCCAAGCGGCCTGATCCGAATTACTTACCAAAGTGCCAACAAAACGATTTCCTTGACAGTCCATTCAACTTCGTCGAATTTAATCATGCCTTAAACTCTCGTAACACTAACTCATCCCCTGGCCTTTTATTCGTATTTATTTCGTAAAATATAAACTTCTCCTTCTTGACATTTATAATGAAATGTACAACACAAGCGATTTTCCAACAGACTGGAAAAAATCTTATGTCCATTTCATTCCAAAACCTGATAATAAAAGTTACAGACCGATCGCACTTACATCAGCATTATGCAAATTGTTCGAAACAATGACTAAAAATAAATTTCAATGGTGGATAGAATCAGAAAACATGCTTCCGGAAAATCAAAGTGGCTTTCGTAAAGGCCAGTCATGTCATGATAACCTGCTCAACGTAACAATCTCTATTCAATCGGCCCTTAATAATCAAAAAAATATATTTGCAGCATTTCTTGACGTTAAAGGAGCTTTCGATAATATCGATGTTAAGATTCTACTTGACAAGTTAGCAAATATTGGATGTCCGTTATCTTTGATTAAATTTATAAAGTTCATTAGAATGGAAAGACTTGTCTATGCCGATGAAATTAACGAACCATTAATACCGTGCAAGGGTGTGTCTCAAGGAGATGTGCTTAGCCCACTTTTATATATAATCTTTGTAGCCGACATCGTAAAAAATATTTCTTGTAGAGTTTCAATATCTCAATTTGCAGACGATATCGCAATATATTCCACCAATCTAAAAGCTCTAGAAAAAGCTCTTCAGCAGATAAAAATTAATCTCTCTAATATCAATCTAAGTTTAGCTCCTGAAAAAACCATATTCGTTTATTTTAATAATAAAGATATTAAACCAGGTAAAACCGTAATCAAACTGGATGATTTAATAATTAAATCTAGTGAATCCACCAAATTTCTTGGAATTATCTTTGATTACAAGCTTTCGTTTGTCCAACAAATAAACAAAGTCAAAATGTGATGCGCTAGAGCAACCAATTTAATAAAGTACTTACAAGGAATTTGGTGGGGCGCAGACTCGTCAACTCTCCTTACTCTTTATAAGAGCTATGCAAGATCTATTATTGAATATGGTTTATTCGTATACTATCCTAAGCGCAAGGATCAACAGGAAAAACTAGAAAAGTTGCAATATAATGCCATTAGATATGCACTAGAACTACGAACAACGACTCCTATTAAGATTTTACTAGCTGAATCAAAACTCCCGACTATACACGAACGGGCGAAATACCTCTGTAATTCCTATATATCTAAAATCTTGTCAAATGAAAGTTTAACTATAAACAAGACTGTGACAAAGTTCTACAATCAAATTAAAAAAAATAAAAAAAAAAAAGAAAAGACTGTACGAAACTTGCATTGAAAATGTAATCTGCTCTGTCAACAATATTGTTAAAGTTTGTAAATACCACATGTATCTTTACGACTATAACTCCATTATGAATCTAGTTCCGCACAAAAAGATAACTGATAACACCACTTCAACAAAAGAGTCTAGAAAGAATTTGTAATGATTTAGACACCCCGAATGTTAGAATATTTTTTACTGTCGGCAGCAGGAGTACAACTTCTCATTCAACTGTTTCAGCATGTATAAACCTTAAAGAAAATATTACTATAAAAAGGAGCTTGAATAAGAAAACGTCTGTTTTCACGGTTAAATGTATCGCAGTGAGAGACTCGTTGGACCTTGCACTTTAAAATACTGATGTCAGCAATATCATTATGTGTAATTCACTCAGAGTTGTTCAGTGTTTACAGAATCCTCTTTTGAAAATCAACTCTAACCCATATCTTTTTGAAATTAAACAAAAGTACTTTGAATTTCAAAAACGAAAAATTAAAAAGGGAAGCATTGAAATTTATTGGATTCCATCACTCTCAGTGATCACAGGTATGATATTGCCAACACACAGGCGAAAAACGCAGCAAACAGAAGACCTACTGATTGTGACCAATTCCCCTTCACGGATTTGAAAGAATCGTTCAAATTAACGATGAAGGCAAATAGCGAATCAAAACTCCTAAGTTCCGATTCTGAAAAAGGGAAGTCTTTATTTTGACCATTACTATAGCGACACGAAAAGACCGTGGTTCCAAAGCAAAAAACTTTCGCGCGAGTTTATAGTCACAATAAACCGTCTGCGTGCGAATCACTATAATCTAAATGCCTCATTGGCAAGAGTTTCGATAATCTCTGACCCTAGTTGCCCGTGTTCATTCCCTTTTCAAGATATCAATCACATTCTGTGGAATTGTCCAATCTACCATGATCAGCGAATTAAACTGTTTACATAATTGTTGCAAATCAATCTAAAGCTCCCTCTATTTGTAGAGGGTCCCAATATTGTTGCGTGTTTCTGCATTGTTAATTTCCTCAAAGACTGCTCACTTCGCATATAGTTCACTAGTATTAAGAGAATACAATGTTTTCACGAATGTAAATACGTAAATGCCAAGTATAGCGAATAAATCTGTACATGATTTGAAAGCTAACAATAAAAAAAAAAAAAATTACACAATCACCAAGTCGCCCATAAAATTTTTTGGTCAATTATTTTGTTAATTGTTTGGAAAAACCATAAAAATTATATAAGTTGTTGCCAATTGTAATACATTTGAAAAACCTCTTCCGGTCTATGAGGTAACAAAATATAAGTATCGATCTATTGAATTATTTCTGTAAACACAACGCCTGCAATGATATATATATATCGTATTGATCTCATCGAACGGACGCAATAAGCCACGCTTTAGACAATTACTCGTGTCAACCGTGAAGACTTTTTTTGTTCATTATTATGAGTGCATTCAGCATTCGTTGGTGTATAAAAGAAGAAGAGTCTTGCTAGATGAAGTCAGTATATGATAACGGATTGAATTTTTCATTTTCACGTGATATGATATCCTCTGTTTTTTTCATTATCTTCGGTACTATTGGAGTTGCAATAAATGGAGTTGTAAGATTTCAATGTTTTTTCTATTCTTTTTTCCTGAATGATACATAAAATCATACTTTTAGTTGACTATATTTAGTTGTATCAAATTAGCTTATGAAAATTCCTATCGATTAAGATTTGGTTTTTAAAAATATAATTAAGAAAATCCGTTCACATATATAGATTTTGCGTAGCTTGTTGTGGTATAAAGATAAACATTTAATTAAAAGAATTAAAAAAATTTTTTTGATGACTTCTTAATAAATCTATAAATCGTAAAATATATTATTACTGAAGAGTCATCAAGAAAAAGTTTTGAAAGTATATATAACATTATTTCAATAATTAAATACCTTATTACTCTCCATCATTATAGATCCAGTGAATTATATTACAAAGTTGTTTGAGAGTGACACCCAAAACTCCAACCGAATAATTATACACAATTAATTATGACAACGTTTCGTTGGTTTGCCTTCCAGCCTCATCAGGTCTTTTATTAAATTGTCAACTAATACAAAAAATACTTTATGACGACTTAAATAAATGATAAATTAAAGATCAATAGAACATCAATAGTCCAAACTTTTACGGCAAAAACTTTTACTATTAGCAATGGATATTATAAATTTTTAATTTCTACATGTTGCGTTGGTATGTAAATTTACTGTTCTATTGATCTTTAATGTATCATTTATTTAAGTCGACATAAAGTATTTTTTGTATCAGTTGACAATTTAATAAAAGACCTGATGAGGTTGGAAGGCAAACCAGCGAAACGTTGTCATAATTAATTGTGTATAATTATTTGGTTGGAGTTTTGGGTGTCACTCTCAAATAACTTTGTAATATAATTCATTAGATCTAAAATTATTTTAATTACAGTTTAAAATTAATAATGGACTCATTTTAAAAATAGATTAACGTTTTAATAAATAAAAATAAATCAATTTATTTACCGGATTAATTTCAGACTAGTAGTCATATAAAAGTAGATCAACTGAATGTAGATGCTACTCCAAATGAATATTTCGGAAAAATTAGTAGCGAAGTAAAACCGTTGAACGATGACAGTAGTATTTCTGTTACTGTACCGGTTAAAAAGAATTTACATGAAAAACTTCAGGTATTTAAAATCATATATTATTTTAATGTAAATAGGTATACTATTATTTATATTTTTGTAGGTAACTGCGAACTTGAATTTTAATAATCTACCAATTTTGAAAGACGAAGTTATTGTGCTCTGTGACGCTATAGCCGAAAATGGATTTTTCCAACCAATTGTTAAAAAAGTAGAACCCAGTGACAAATTCCCGAAAAGTTGTCCGATACCAGCGGTTTGTAATACTTTGAGAATTTGTTTTAATAATGAATTTGCTCAATAAATATTACGTGGAATTTTAGGGCGAATGGAAAATTACAAATTATGTTATCGATATGGATGACTATCTTCCATTTGGATTAGTACCTTCAGGAAATTTTGATGGTCAATTTGACATTGGCTTACCAAATGCCAAACCTATGATAAAAATAGTAGTAAATGGAACAGTTTCTCCTTTTGGTGGTGTACCATCAAGCTTGAAGTCATTGTTTGAATTGATTTAATCTGATAATTGACCTATAATTGTCATTGTATACGATATTTCTTGAACACCTGTTACATCATAAAAAAATTTTTTTCTTTTAAACAATGTGTTTATTTACTGCCAAATACAGTAAAGTTGAAATTTCTATCACGGTAGGTATAGATAAAATACTTTGTTATTTTGAGTGCCTCTTCGAGCAGTTGAAAAAATAAAACAATGCCTAAAAAACCTAACAATAATGTATTCATAAACCATTATTTCATACCTAATTCACTTTGGCAGAATTATTTGTGCATAATCAGTTACGATTAACCAAATAGTTAAAAAAATGAATAAAATTGGATTTCTAATGCATTTCTTTGATTAGAATAAGTGTACTATCGTTGTGTTTGTGCAACTCATAATCACTAGTAAGTTGAATTTACTAATAAATCTTTGCAACGATCCGGTTACCATTGCAATTATAAGTGTTGAGATGCGTGGTGTTTGAGTGACTGCAATAAAAAGGTGATTTATAATTTATCCTTTAAATTTTCATAGTTTGTGATAAGATTAATTATAAGATCATTCTCACTTCGTGTTTCAAAAGAACTTTACTATCTTAACATAACGTATTAAATGTTGGACCTGCTTCAGTCTATTCAAATTATCTAGTATGATTAAATGCTAAATTTCGAGCTATCAAATACTTTAGAAACAAAATTGCACATATTTCAGTTAATTATTCGCACAATGTCGTTACGTCAATTTATCAATCAACTGAACGTACTAATTTTATCAATTATTGTAGAAAGATGTACTACTTGTTAATTAACAATTGTTATCTATAAAAATTATTTAGTCTGATGATTCGTATCTCAAAAATTCTGACAAGCAGGGTAAATTTAAAACGCACAAAGTTGGCTAAGTTAAAATTTCGGACTGCCGCGCTATATCAACTTTTTGTAACGACCTCTGGCGCAGACTAAGTCAAGTGAAAATACTGCAAATCTGCCAATGTGTTTACTGTGTCTGCTCTGTCTGTCTGTCTGTCTGTCTCTCTCTCTCTCTCTCTCTCGCTCTCTCTGTTTCACTCTCTGTCTCTCAGTCTCCTCCCTCTCTCGATAACCGACTCACAAAAACGACGCGCAAAGTGCAAACGACGCGTACGGTGTAAACGACGCGCACGTCTCGCTTGCACATCTACACATATATACACATTTAAACACATTTGACGATGTAAATAGCGCTAGTAGCATAGTAGTGTGTGGAGCGCGGCTGTACAATATTGATAACAAACGCACTTTGTCATCGTGTGTCGAACAAAGTGTTCTGTTGCACGACAACCGTGTAGCGTGTGAAATAAGAACAGAAGGCAAGTAACGCGACGCACGTTGTTGCGTGGCGATGAGTGGATCCGAGCATAGTTACAGTAGTAGTAACAGTTGCAGCAACAACATTAGTAACAGCCTTGCATGGCACATCAGGTACAAAAGACAGCAGGGCATCGTCGTCGAGCTATAACCTCGACCGAAGACAAATCAAGATTTTCATGAGCCTTCGTGGTGCGTCACGATCTCGGCGTACATTCGCAAAGGTACGAAGAACAGCCACTTTACTTGTGGAAGATGCACAGTGCAGAGCTGGCTTCTTGTTATTCTTATTGAGCCAATTGTCCTGCTACTGCTACTGCTTAGCGACTGCACCGGCGATCTGCCAAAATGAAGATCACTGTAAGTTTTACGTGTAGGTGCCTATAAATCCTATCTGTTTTTCTCTTTTTTTATCTGTTAGAGCGTGTAATTATTTGGGAATTAAAGCGTAATATATAGCACCTTTGTTTGGCTCCTCTCCAAAAGCCTATTTCTTCATCTTTTATATAGTTTTTAGTCATTTTTCTTGTCAATTGACAGCACTATGTAGAATGTTATTTTTATATTGCAGGGTATAATCATTGCCGTGTGGCGAGGCTTAATAGACAGCTTACGTGGTGCACTTGTCCTATTCTCTATGGACAAGCAATTCAACGAAAGGATAAAAAAATCTGCCTCAAAGGTAGACTCTCGTAGGAAAGAGAACACTGTTGGACAGAGTCCAGCCAAGTTCTCTAAGCAACATAGGTAAGTTGTGGATTTGTGCTAAAATTATAATTGACTGAATTTCTTTGTTGTATTACTATATTATAGCTAACAATTTGCTATTTTGTGGTGAGATTATGTAAACTTTAATTTGACTTTAACAGGGAATCAAAGGTGCTACAAAGAACAGTTCAGTGCTGTGCTTTGAATGGTGGTGTATGCTTAGCTAGCATTCTTATTTTTGAATATGGATTGTTGCCGTCTCTGAAATATTTATTAAATATAATATTTGGTCAATCTCCGGGTATGGGAACTTTTGTTTGGTCATGGATGAAACCATTTTTGTCACTCATTTTCAGCACTGTATGGATACTGCCAGTTTTCTTATTAAGTAAAATAATCAATATGCTATGGTTTCAAGTAAGCATTGAAAATGATGAAAAACATTTAAATACTCAGGTACAGTTTTTACCCAACATATTACTTACATTACAGGATATTGCAGATAGTGCATATAGATGTCGTCAAGGTAGACCAGTACTATTGTCAAGTATCAGTAAGCTTTTAGCTGATATGGCTTTCAGTACTTTGGTGCAAGGCTTGTTTTTAGGCCAAAGTAATCTAGTATCAAAAGTGCCACTGCCACCAATTGGTGACATTCTTGAACTTTTACATTTGTGCCTTCTTAATGCTTTATATAGTTTTGAATACAAATGGTACAACATGGGATGGGAATTGCATAGACGACTTGAATTTATTGAATTTAACTGGCCATACTTTGTTGGATTTGGGTTACCACTTGCATTATCTTCCAAATTATCAGATTCATATGTTATAAGGTAACCTATATAATTTATATAAATAAAAATTTAAATATGTATAGAGCTTTATGATTCATTCAAATAAAGTAATACTTTATAAAAAAATGATCTTAACCTTTAGAGGGCCGGAGAATCAATATACTGACGCTACCCCCGAGTGATACCCGATTGATACTTTCCCTATGATCAATCAATGATATAAGATACCTTTTATACCAGTTTTCTGAGGGCGATATGTCCCTTGAAATTCCGGCCCTCTAAAGGTTAAATCTCTAGTTTCAATAATTAGAAGATAAATAAAAATATGTGCCATTAATTTCGATTCTGTACTAAATATAACTAGAATATTTTAATGGAATTAAAAAAAAAATTCGTTTAATTTCAGGAGCTGTGTATTTGCTATACTATTCCCATTATTTATCGTCAGTGGAAACGAAGCAGAACCAGTTATTGCTGTCTGGTTAGTATTATTTTTGACACTAAAAATATATTTCACTTTATTATATTTAAAAATCATTTATTGTTTCAGCAACTGTCCGTTAAAAATATTTTCACCCGTGGTTTCAATAGCTAATAAGTTAATTAAAAAAATGCGCGACGTCTATTATTTTTCTTACCGCCCTCCCTAAAGTTTATAAATTACATTATTTTTACGTTGTCCACATTTATTTCATTCTCATTTTCATTTTTGTTTTTTAAGTTGACCTTAAACCTCTATTATTTTTTCAGTGACTGTCATTTCAAAATATTTTCTCCTGTGGTTGCCATATCTAATGCATTATTTAGTAAAACAATTGCACCGAATAAGAGACGGTGACAAGAAGAAGTATCAAGTGTTTTGGATGAGAAATCTGGCGAAAAAGAAACTTAATTTGGAAACTTGGAAGTTTTTCATCAAACTTTTAAACGACAAAACGAAAACACTTAATTTCGCGCGTAATGTATACTTAGAACTATGTAAATATGCAATAATGGAAAATTTTAGAACAGATTATATAGGGGTTGCCCAAGTCTGGCTTGTGTTAACTAACTTTATAATAAGGACAGTAAACAATACCCTAAATAACCTATAATAATATCTTTTAGTTATTTTTATATATAAGTTAGGTAGGGCTAATTGTAATATGTGGGTGTAAAATAGAAATGTTATCATAAATACGAAGTTTATTGGTTTCTATATTTTTATAAGTTTAATTTGATTAGAGGAATTAATATTTAGTAGAATGATCTTTTTATTTCGGATAGTTCATTTCAATTTCAATAGGATTTATTTTAATTTTACAGCTTCTTTGCTACATTTTTATGATTTTTTGAATATCTATAAATTTGTTTTTAAATATTTAAATGGCTATTATTACATCATGACTGCTTAACTAGTCAATTAATAATTAATTTTTTTATAATAGATCGATACAAATGTATTTGTTAATGTGCAGCAATTATTTGAATTATAGATTTTTATTTCTAGTTAATTGATTAATTAAATAATAAAATTTTAATTATGTAATGAATTTTTGAGTATTCTTTAAGTTACAGGAATAACTTAATAAATCTAAATCATGCTATATAAATTTGTTCGATTTCTTGTTATATTAATTATATTAAGTTATGTCATGATCATGTTTTTGATTTAATTTACAGAACAGACATAATGGTTTAAGGTGTATGAAATATATATGCATATAACAATTTTTATATAAATTCACCACTGTAAAATACGTTTCTGACTTGTAAGTTTCATTGGAATGCTAATTTTTTCAATTGCGCCTTATTTTTTTTAATAAGAATAGAGTCGTCTAATAGTACTTGAATAACATGTGATAGAACTTTTTTTATTAGTTTACAACAAGTGGCTGTTTAACAATGATCATTTAGTTGAATTCTAATTGCTAATTTGCTCTTGAATATTAAATGTGAACAGGATAAATTTTTGAGAGCAAGTGAATTAATATGAACTTTTTTAAATGGCTGTTTGTACTATCGACCAATGTAAATATAATTACTAGAAATAATAAATGTTTTATACACTATGAAATAAATATGGTGATTGATTACATATCTCTATCCTTCTGTATAATTTATAAAATTAATGAAAAAAAGACTACTTTTTTGGCTATGAAATAAGTTCCTGAAAATTTATTAGTTCGTGATTATTTGAAGATTCCTGTTTAATGTTGTGTGCAGTAGAAAGAGCATAATGTCGATGTAGTGCTTCAAAACTTAATCCAGGATCATTTTCTTCTTCCGCAAACAAAATAGGATCTTTGTCTGCAGAGCTTTTGCTGATCTAATAATAAAATCATGAACATAGAAATAAAAATTTTTCTGTTAAAAAAATAAATATAAGTGAATATAAAAAGTGAAGTAGAGTTATTGTACCTCAAATTTTTGTGGTTTATAATTGAAAAGTTTACGAGTACCAGGAGAACTTTGAATAAGGTTTTGTATAGTTGGATGAGATATACCAAAAAAATCTGCTCCTTTCGGTGTTATTAAATTTAATGTAGATGATATAGCTACCAACAAACGTGAATGGCATTCATCTGGACTGGACCCCACTAATGGTTGATCAAGTTCAGTATCCGAGACTATTTCAAACCTTAACAAATATGTTTGTTATAATTTTATTAATTTAATCACTGTTAGACAAAATATTGTAATTTTGTCTTATTTTTTAAAATTTGTATATTTTATTCAGATAAAAGGATAAATTTTCAATTAGTATAATAAAGAGTAAATGAACTTTTCTTGATTTACCTAGGTTTAATTCCACCATCTAATATTTTACATGTGTATAACGTTTTCATTCTGGCATCTTTCAAACTAGCATAGACTCTAGTACTACAATAACCTACTGGAAAAATTAAATCTTCAGTGTGATATGCCAGTCTGTCAGCAACAACATCTCCTAATGAATACACAGTTAAGTCTCCTAATGAAATTGGAAAAATAGGTCTACCATGAATATCTAAGGGTATGAGCTGTACAACTTTTCGTGCAGTTTTACTCAACTTTTTAGGTTTACTTTTACAGTCTAAAAAATCATATTGAACAATTTTAATTTATATACGTTTTCAATATTTGATTTTGTTAATTAATATGTTACCTAGGATCTCTATATTATTTCGCTTTTTAATACTTTTTTTAGATAGAAATGCATCTGAGTTTGGTACTGGTGAACTAGAGCTACCCATTTGGGATTTTGTTAATAAACTTGATGGATCCATTTCACCTTGCAATTGACACAGTCTCTTTAACAGCATTAGCCTTTCTTTTTTTGCAGAAACAAGATTATCTTGAACTTCTGATACTTGATCGCAAAGAGCTGCATTTTCCTAGATATATAGTAAAGATATTTAAAAAACTATTTCGTTTTTGGGAATGATTTAATTAATATTGTAGAAATTACTCACAACAACCATTTCTTTAACAAGTTTTTTTAATTTTTTATATTTTTTCTTATATTTAAGATTTTCTTGCAGTTCTTTGTGGTTATATGTTTCACGAAAATACGTTGTTCCATAAGCGTTTGACATCTTTTTTAGTTCCTTAAATGATAATTGTTCTCATACAAAAGCACTAACAAATAAATAAAAGTATGCCTTTATTACTTTACATTTTTAAGTATTAATAGTTTTAAAAAATTTGTTTGTTTTGTTTTGATTGGTGGTTATGGTATAGTAGCTGATTTTTGGTGTTTACCTATTATAATTATAGGTGGCTCTGATGACGACTTCAGTAAGTTGTAAGTAAGCACATGCTCTCGGCTCGAAATCGTAAGCAGTGAAGGCAGCTACAGAGCTCGGGAGCATTTCGCGGCCTACCACTGGTTACAATATGCTCATAGAGTCATACATTCAGTTTTTGAAATAATTATTGAAAAAATAAGAGAATAAAGAGTAATAGAAATTACAACAGAATAATTTGAAAAATGAAATGATAATCATTGAAATCTTTATTAAGAATACAACGTAACTTTCTTTAAGTAAAGGCTGCAATGGTTTGTTGACATCTCAATTAAAATATATCTGATGGAACGAGGAATTCCCAAAGAAAAATTTAGTAATATTGTTATTGTATATTTGATAACGTAACAGGGCACTTGGCAACAAATAAAAGTGTTGCATCTTTTAGAAACTATATTTATTTATATAAAATACAATTACAGTAAGAGTTATTTTTTTAAGCTTTCCACGATATTTTTTACAATGGATTTAAGAGATAAGCTATTGTTTTATGAATCATTTGTATCAATAGGTATTTGTGATTAAAGAAAAATAAGGAATACTATCTTTCTCGTTCAAAAAAAAAAAATATATATATATATAATATTCCTTTCAAATAGCTTGCTAATTTTCTAAGAATTACGCGGTACTTGAAACATTACTCGAGGTAAGTATAATATAAGCACGACTTAACTAATTAAATTATTCTTCAAAGCATTGCTTCAGCTATCACAGTTGATTTGTCTTGTTGAATGTATTATATTTATTGAAAATTCTAGGGTTCGTTAAATAAATGCAGGATGGTTGTTTCCGACCGTAAATACTGCTGTGAAATATTGAGAAAATATTCTGCCTATGTATTGCTCCTCTTTGAGGGGCCAAAAACCCTCTAAAAATCCAATATGACCTCCTCTTGACGTCACAACCATTGCCACATTATTCAATTGGCTCACTTCTTTTAAAGGTATAGCTGTGTGGATAGTGCGATCGATCAATATGAAACAATCAGCAAGTCATTAAATGAAATAAAATATGCATGTAAATTTTGTAAGAATCGATTTTCCAACTGATAAGGTACATACCTTCGAAAGGTTGGAATGGGTCGTCAGCGGCACCCCAGCAAAGTAGTGGTATTTCGATAAGATGCAGCTTATTGTGAAGAGTTGCATTTGCGTAATAATGCTCAGCGTCTCTATATCCAAAATGCCTGGACGTAAAATTTTCATCGAATTCTCGAACTGTCTTGCTCTATAGTACGTACAATTTATTTTCATAATCAGAAAAAAGAAACTTGTCATCTACAATTTGTATGAATAATATTTACTAGAAAAGGTCATTACTTTATACACATTCTCCAAATCCACGTCTGGGAATTGGTCTCGGCCAACGTGATGCATCAATATTTGTTGCAAATTATCACAGAGATACTTATTCAACAGTAAATTCAGGTACGGCTTTTCAATGCTCTTCGTCGCTTCGAAAATATTCAGCGGTACCGAAATAATCAAGGCCGCTTTGATTTTTCCCACTGCGTTACTTCCATATTGGGCTAAATAATTGCCAAGTAATAATCTAAAATAAACAATAAGCGATTATTTAGGAAACAAAAACAACTGGACACGTGCAAATCATTTGATATCGAGCGTCGCCTACCCTCCCATGGAAATTCCTGCAGCGCCGAGAATAGTCTGAGGGTGCAGCTTTTTGACATGATCAACGACCTCGGCAAGGTCTTCACAGTTTGCCGCGCAGTAAAACTTGGGCGTCTGCAAATGGTTATTAATAAAGATAAGCCGAGAAAGGAAAAATAAAAGGCCGATTAATCATCAAGTGCTTACCTTGATTTTCACTCCACCCATGCCTCTGTAATTGAATATCACGCATCTCATTCCAGAGTTTTTGGCCGCGTAAACAAGGCATCTTATATATTCCGCTTGGCTAGCGCCTGTCAAACCAGGTAAGATAATAACGATTGGCGAGGCTGGGCTTGAATTTTCCTCTGCCCAATCTAATGCTACTTCCCCGCCGTCTGACAATGTCAACATTTCCCTGAAATGATCACTCGAACTATTGGAACCTTATTACTTTTGCAGCTTCAAGCTTTATTACCTTCGGTACTTTATGCTTGGTAGCATTCTTGCGCGCACGATGCATGCGAATATTGTTTGCGCACGAGACTCGAAGCACCATAGCGTTGGCCAATATTTACTTTTTAAAATTGGCAAATTTTCGACTAAAAAATCTTGGAATGGTCCTGTGGCACAATAGAGTATAGGAGTCTGCAAATCATAGTTTTCCATGAAATTCAAGCGAACGTGCCTACCGATTGTGGGATTTTGTTGTACTGTCAATAGTGATGCCCGTGAGCTTTTTTAATTAATCTATAATTTCATAGACACAACAATTATTTGTCATTCGCGATGAAACACGGCTAGTCTACGTGTAATCAAGCATCGAATACGCCATAAAATATAAAATTTCATAGTTTCCTTAATTGTCGATTCAGTAATTTCCAATTTTATAAAATATGTGCACGGCAAGATCAATATCAGCTTACAAAAGAACATGTAAGATTTTGTATATATTTAAAACGTCGTATACACAAGTATTACGTATAGTACTTAACTGAAGTATAGAGAATTCGTTCAATATTACCCCGACGAAATTGAAAAAATAGACGCTCGCACGCGTACGTTAAAAAGAAAAATGTAAATATCGCACGTGTAGATAATTCACTTACTTTGACAACTTCGAAAAAGTAGTAAGCGCAGAATCCTATGCCAAACAGTGCCCCGCAGCAGAAGTGAGGCACGCAGAGGGCGCATTCGATAAAATTGAGCGGTATAATGTCCTTCAAGCCCTCCATTAAAATGGAATTTGCGCGTGCACCGCGCCGTCACAATCCAGTCGCAGTTAAACCACGTCCCGAACGTCGGGGCTGATGTGGACAAACAAATTTTAACGATCCGCTGAAATTCTTGGATATTTACGTCACTGGACGGCCTCCGGACGCAAGCGTAGCCTCTGCATCTAGACTTCGAGCGGAATGAAGTCTCTTCCAAGTTCAATACTGTGGCGATACATGTGTCGGACGACACGTGCAAAAACAAAAAAGAAAATGCGTGCACGTTCCGAACGCTATCGTCCCCCTTTTCTTTGCCGTGCCTCGTCCCGCGATGATATCAAATTTTGCAACTGCGCAAGCTTATAGATGCATGTGTGTTGTCGGTGGTCGCAGCTTTAACACTTGCTATCAAACGCTAGATAGATAGATAGAGAGAGAGAGAGAGAGAGAGAGAGAGAGAGAGAGAGAAAGGGAGAGAGAGAGAGAGAGAGAGTCGTGTACCCCTGCACACGATGTACTGCTGCTTGCAAAGAAGTGTGTCAGTGCAGAAGCAATCCGCTCCCTCGTCGTGATGTCTATACAGCGCGCAGTTTGTGCTCGTTCTTTGAAACATGTGCGCATTGGAGGGAACTCCGTCTGACGTGCAGTTAGGGAAGTACTTTCGACACATTATATAGTCATCTTTCATAGCTCGTATGATACGGCCATTTCCCTTTTTCTTTTCAAATTATCGATTCGAACATTTTTTTGAACAATTTGAAAAACGACACTTCTACGCGTCCAATTAAGCTACGACATCTGAAATTTACAATAGGGGTAAAATACCAGTTATCCAGATGACAATAACAGCCACGTATCTATAGTTGAGATCGATTATTATTTCGTCATAGATCCCTAGAATAACACAACTAGGAGTACGTAGCAGTTGTGTCGTATTTTCATCCACAGCATTATACGCTAAGACTATCATTACTTTATTTTTAGTTAATGCAAGTGTAACCATATTTTTGCTACTTTTATGCGATTTTGTATCCGAAGTGTCTTGCATACTTGGTGTATAATATACGCATTCATGCGTTGAAACGTATCATAATTATGGCTAACTGTTAATCACATCTAGAAATAATTTATAGGAAACAAATAAGTTTATGAGTACGTTTATATTATTACCAAAAGGTTTTATTTGGAATTTCTGATCGAATCACTATTTACTACTCAATCAGTAGGGAACTTGCTAGATTCAAGACAGCCGATTTTTTATAGGCTTGTTATTATTATTAAATTTATTTCAACCTATAACTATAACATGTTACAAAATTAGTTCAAAGAAGGATTGTGATATACATATATATATATATTGTACATTTTGTCATTAGGAATGATCGGAGATTGGATAAGATGTATCTGAATCTTTCAATCAGTAATTGTGTCCGAGTATTTGTCAAGTATATTTTAAAAGCAATCACAAGCAGAACTAAAACAATGTACATATCGGCAAAACAATTTTTAAAATGAAATATCGAAAAATTATATAATATTAAGTAGAATTTCACGTTAACAATTGACTCTATTTTTACTGTACATGTTTATTAAGAGTTTGCACCTAGTCATATCAGATACAACGACGCAATACTTTTTGATATATGTATAATTTGCTTAATTGAATTATACATGATCCCAAAATCATTTCGACTAATTCATTACGTCTATTCAGAAAGAAAAATGAGATATGATTTAAATAGGCAACAAATCCATCATTACTTGTTCATTGAAGCTCTGCGCACACAAATCATTTAATAAGATTTAATCTCAACTTTAGCTTGATCCGAATTCATTCTATAGTGTTAGTAATAATATTCATAAAAACTTGTCATACTTTCTAATTATAGCATTAGGCACTTATTTTATGCAAACGGACAGGAACGTATTAATAACAGTAACATATCACAAGGCATTCGTGTTAAAAAAATATAAAATATCTCGCAAATTAGTAAAAAAATTTTTGAAATCTACATTGTTTTACTTTAACGAAACAAGACCAGACGTTTCTGATTTGTAACAAATCAGAATAATTGCATTGAAATGTGTAATTTCCTCGTATATCGAGTATGAATTGTTGATTATTCAGTTCTTCTATGCTATCAACATTTTTAACGGAATCGCCATATTAATTCGTTAAACCTAAAGTCCAATAATAATTTGCTAATTATATAAAAATTTAAAATTACATGGAAACACGACGAATGAATAATTGTAATACTTGGAATTTTCTTTTCAGAATCAAAACGCTGGATGGTCTTGACCATGAGTGAACACTGCACTAAAGTATTGTGCGAAAATTTTTCCTATATACTGGTCCTCTTTCACCGGCCAAATACCCTCTAGAAAGCCAATATGTCCACCTCGAGATGTAACAATCATCGCAACATGTTCGGTTTCGCTCACTTCTTTTAATGGAATTGCTTGAACATAAGATATATTCGTTAATTTAGAAATTGCTTAAATTTTAATCAACCTGTATCATTGCAGTTACCTTCAAATGGTTGAAACGGATCGTCTGCTGCACTAAGGCAAAGCAAGGGAACTTCTATTTGGTGCAGTTTATCGTGAAGTGTTGCTTTTGAGTAATAATCGTCAACACTTTTGAACCCGAAATGTCGAGATGTAAAGTAATCATCGAATTCTCGGACTGTTGTACTCTGCAAATATATTAAAATATCAAATATCTACACTAGCATTTAAAATTTTGTCGACCAACAATTGAATTACACGCACTGTAATGAGATTCGCTACTATTAATAGTGTCATTGTAAATACCTTCAATGCTGTATTCAAATCCAAGTTTAAATCATCGCGTTCTTCGCCAAAATGGCACAGAAGATTTCGACGGAGATTGTTACAGAGATGTCTGTTCAACATCAAATTCAAGTACGGCTTTTCGATACTTTTCGTTGCTTCAAAAACATTCCACGGAACGGAAATTGCGAAACCAGCTTTGAGTTTTGGAACAGCAGCTTTTCCGTGCTGAGCCAAGTAATTACCAAGAATGAGTCTGTAAACATTAGTTTCTATTACTCGGTCAACATTTCAAGGATTTCAAAGGATTTTACCACGAATAATATTTATTTGTGAAAATTATATTTGCAGGCGATATTTTGTTTTTTACTGATCCTGTAATTGAATGTGAAAGAAAATTAAGTGATACCACATTATTAAACATATGAATAAATAAAAATGTCGTGAAATGTACAGCGAATATAAAAGTGTTTGAATACAACTGCAAAAACTCTTATGTGATTTGAATAGCATTTGATAAATTAACATAAGGTTTCTTTACGAAAAGCTGATAACAATTAGAAAGTTCAATGTCCGTTAAGACTTATAAAAGATAAAAATTATATATAAAAAAAAAAAGAATACTCGGGGAAATCAACGACAGAACTTATAGAAAATATGAGCACGTACCCTCCCATTGAAATGCCAGTAGCGCCAATGGGCACGTTTGGATGAAGTCGCCTTACGTGCTCGATAACTTCGGCCAGATCCTCGCAGTTTGCAGCACAATACAATCTCGGCGTCTGTGATCGTGGGCCAGTCATAACAATAAAAAAAGTTACTCTAGATCTTCGACTATTGCTTTTCGTAAACTTTAGGGTGGTACGGAATAATTTTGGTAGGAAAGTATGCGATGAATAGTACGAAAGTTCAGTTAATTATGAAAATCTATGGCAAAGAAGTTATTTTCCAATCAAACCGATAAATGACGTCATCTAATTAAGGGTACAAATCACGCGATTTCAATAAGAATGTGGGATTGCAACATCGAACATTCGATACTTGAAGCAACTTTAAAATAAAATGTGTCGCGATAAAGGGTATTGAATTGGTTTATACCTTCAGTTTCATTCCACCTAATCCTCTGTTATTGAATATTACGCACTTGATACCGCAATTTTTAGCCGCATAGACGAGGCACTTTATGTACTCCGCTTGGCTGGCTCCTGTTAAACCTGGCAGGATTATTACGATCGGCGACGTCGAGGAACAATTATTCTCGGCCCAATCAAGTGCAACTTCACCTCCGTCCGACAGCGTCAATACTTCCCTGCAATAATTTCACGTTCTTTTCTCGATCGCTCGATGGAAACTTTGTTGGTCTACAAGCGAACGTAGAATGCGAACCTTCGATACTGTATGTGAGGCCATAATCGCGACCTGAGCAAGCTGGCAAAAACTGTTTGAGCTCTGGACTCGAAACACCAAAGCGTCGGCCAAAATTTATTCTTTAATATCGTCACGTGATCTTCGAGAAAATCACGGAATGGACCTTTTGAGCAAACCACCAGCGGCTCCTGTGACGCATAGACGCATTATTAGTTGATGACTCATTGTTAAAACTTTTTTTATCACTACTCTATCACTCGTTGTTGATAGCTTTATCAAGTATTAAGTTTTGATTAAGAAAAAGCTCTAAAATACACGATTCTGCCATTTAGCGACAGATAAGTAAATCGTAAAGTCATGAAATTTGAAGGAAATGATCGGTACACTTGATACGGTAATAAGAATTAATCCATCAGCAGTAAACAGCTGTAATAATCGTGAATCGTCGATTATTTACGGACTTCAATAGGTCATCATTTTGCAGCGACAATTTAATCGTAAAAATGTAACGAACGAACGGATGCTTAAGGAGCGTCAATGGTGCTGCAAGTATGTAGCGCACCTAGCAAAGGTCAAACTGATACTGAATTATACGCGAAGCAGCATATGCTTAGGCCGTTGTTGGCGATCAATTACTCGTTTCGTTTTTCCTCGACGGCCAACTCGAAGCAGGTATCTTTAAGAGAACGCGGCCGACTATCGTGATTCATGTCGAGAACGCAGGCGAGATAGACGCAAATATCAATTCCATCGGCAACGATGCGAGAGATACGTTAACGCTCAATTAGCTTCCGTGCGCTTGGTATTCAAAAGAGATAAATAGCACGCACGCGGAACTCGGCCGAGTGAAATCACGGCGATGGCGCAACAGCGAGCGCCCCGTTCGAGCTGCCCGTCCGGAATGCAGGAGCAAGGAGCAGACGAACAAAGGAGTCATATCTCACCTTGACAACCTCGAAGAGGTAGTAGAAGCAGAATCCAAGACCGAAAAGCGCGCCGTAGTAGAGCTTGGGCACGCAGAGGGCGCCCTCGACGAAAGCCAGAATCATGACGGCTTCTCCGCTTTGCTACGCCGCGCAGCGCCAGAGATTTCTCAGCGGAACGAGGCCAACGGCTACAGGGGGTGCGGGTGCGGGCCGCGACAACCTCTCGGCGGCGGCGGCGGCAGCGCGACGATGGCGACGAGGGTCGTCGGCCTGGCGAGGCTCCCGCGTAGTCGGCTGTCGCTGCCGCGTAAGCTCGCGCACCGCCAACGACTCCGGCCAAGTTGAGCTGCTCTCATACCGTCAGTCTCGCTCCTCGATCACGTGGCCAGCGAATTCAGTCCAATGTGACAGCCGGTTATTATATATCGCGCGCTTACGCAACATCAACTGGCGGAAGGCTGCGCCGCTGGCGGACGCCTCGATGCTTGCGATCGCACGTGCGCGAACTTGCGGCTGCGCTCACGCAGGCGGCACTCCGCGGTTGCGCGCTCGCACCTTCCCAGGTGCTCCAGCGGACGCGCGCTTTCGATTCGCGAACCGGATCCCTTGCGCACACGCCGCTTATTTATTGATCCTCGCGCGCGGACTTTCCTTCTTTTGCGACTCGCCGAGCTTGCCAGTGCCAAACAAACTGCTTGGTAACGTCCTTATTGTCGTATGTGCTCAGTCCAACGACCGACGGCTCTTGAGGCAGCTTTGATCATCGATGGAACACGGATGATTTTAATACCTGTTCATTTTCATTATTTCTTTTTTTTCATCAACGATACACACCGATTGCAGCTTTCGAAGATCCTGCTTGATTTAAAAAATTCATGGGTAAATTAAACGGTAAAAACTCAAACGAAAATTGATCGTTCGATCAGTTGAATTTATCGAAATTTATTAATGTTTTCACCTTACGAGTTTCCGATGACGTGATAAAAGGGACGAACAATTTCCGACATTATTAGCTAACAATACGTTAGAGAAATGTTTTTCTTATTTTTATTGGCCATATTAATTTCTTTTATATTTACAGAACGAGCCAACAAAAATTTTGAAATTCAAAAATAGATAAACATTTTTTTTTAGCGGGCTTCAGTTCGAAATTGAAAGTCCTTACTGAACGGCGCGTGGCTAAAGCATTAGTTCTATTATAAAAGTTTCCGTCTCAAAGAATTCAATAAAACCACTTTAGTATTCAAAGCTCCGATAATCGATTACTCGTCAGTCGACTTGATTTTATTGTCAACGTTTCAAAGCTTTCAAAGAGGCTTTTAACGGTTCGGTGTACGGGGGTTACTGCAAGAACCCGATTCCCCAGTTCAACCGAGCATACCCTGAATCAATAGAAAAGATTCTAGGCCGGTGCTGCGGCGTATTTTAGAGTACAGTGCCAGAGATATGAAATGCTGTAAATAAGGGAAGAGAGCGCTCTTATTCACTCTCCGGAATCTTAATATTTTAAAGCTCGCAAAGTTAAATGAGGTTCAAACTTAAATAAAATCATAATCGTTGACTTATTCGACTGTGTAATCGCGTTTTCTTTGATCACTTCCGTTCAGTCAGTTTATAAACCACTCCTAGCTTGATCTTTACGTGGATTTGCTGTTTTATGTAATGTATGAGTGATTAATAATTACACGTGTTTACAAGAAATATATGGCGGTGCATTTATTAAACACAGTCTTTTACATTTAGAGATGTACAAGAACAGTACTGAAAAAGGAATTGCGTGATCTTCCACCTGCCAGTTTGCCTCTAACATGTATTTGCATGGCCTTGTCGTTGAAAGGTCAATCTCGCGATAACGCAGCTTTGCTTTCCTCACGCATATACTTTGCGAAATAAATACCTATTTGGCTGTTCATTGCATTCTTATGCTCTACGTTAGTCAATCTCGAAGGTAAACATTTGTTTGTATGTTTCGAGACTTCGCATGACTAAAATATCACTTTATACCGTTTTACACTCAAGTTTTGTCTACAAATCTCGAGCGTTCTACAGTTATATCCTTTATTTTATTTGTAACGTTTAACAGTAGATGCTTTAAAAAATCGTAAACAAATGCGCAAATTCGTGTAAGCTCGAAAACGTTAACTACGTACGATTTGGCTACATTTATAATTTTAGGAGTTACAAATCAACTCTTTACAGTGCACTTTATAGCTCTGTATCCGGTTCAACAAATTGCTTGATAGTCTTAAATTATAGCTCAATTATAGTATACTTTTCACATTAACTTAGAATTATTCAGTAGTGTTTAGCTAGATTTCTATCAATTCAAGAGCGTCATCTTAAACTAGATTATAATGATCTCTTTTTATTTGTAAATCACTTGGACTAGTAATTAGCAAATGTGATTTATACTCAGTACGGTCTTATTTGTCCACATTTAAACGCACTTTTTTTCTAGAACACAGAGATTTTTGATTGGATTCTTGAAAAGTATAAACATTTATAATACACAAAAAAATTTTCTAATTGAAGTATACAATGAATAACATAGAAACGGGCTTAAAAGTAATCATTAACAGGTATTAATGTTACGGCTGACAAGCATCAAATACTGCTACTGCTCGATATTAATTATTTGATCTGTACATTAATCCCTGATAAAAATTATATTGCTTTTTTGTCTGTTGTCATATTAAAAATATCATAATATTATTGTAATAATTTAGTTTCATCATCATTTTCAAATTAAGACCTTATTGAATGTATTTAATGATGAAGAAGCGACGAGTTCATAAATAATTCACATGATTGTCTTGTAAAATACGAGTTTAAGTTCAAATGCTTCGTGTAAAATTTTGTTAAAAAAACTATTCAATGAGTTTAATTCGTGCAATAGAGTTCCACTCATATCGCATTCGTTTTTTTTGTTTTTTTTGTTGTTTTTTTGTTGTTTTTTTTAATAATTTTATAAAGCTAGTACAGAAATTAAATAAAACTAAAATTCCGTCAGCGACATATTCGTCTAAGCAAGGTTAACTACGCCTGCGTTCGTTAAAATCTAAGCAAGTAAAAACTTACACATTATACGTTCTACGAAAATGTATGTCGTCAAATCGGGCAAGCTACAGCTCCTGTTTGGGTCTATGTGCTTGATGGGTGTTCGTGGCGATGTCTTCAAATCTAGCAACCTTATATCATAATGATTTCCTACCACATACCGATTCTCGGATGTATTTGGCCCAAGTGCGATTGGGTGTTAGATCGCCTTTACGCACGAATGGTCGCTGCTCCAAAAATCTGCTGTACGTCTCAGGATGGTACGAACACGAAAGTATCTTGCGCAGCTTAGCTGCGCCAGTAGTAAATTGTAACGGCTGACTGCCAACCAGCACATCTAGGTCGTCTTTGACGTTTAAAGCCCAGTCCCACATCTCCACCAGTGAGCAGTTGCATACGAATGGGTTACCGATGAGGTTGATGGTTAAAAGTCGAGGATTCGCTTGGAATACGCGTGGATTGATCGTGGTCAAGTTATTGTTACTTAGATCGAGGTGCTCGAGACCACGGAGTTTTTTAATGAAGATAAGACGGTCAGTGCCGGTGATTTTGTTGCTGGATAGATTAAGGTGTGTGAGATTACGCGTGTGCGAAAAGATATTCTCGTTTAGTCGTGAAATGTCGCAATGACTTAGATCTAGGCGTTCCAAACCTGAAAGCTGTTTAGGTAAAAGTGGTCCATTGTCGGGTATAACCAGTGGGTTCTTGCTCAACTTTAACTCGATTATGTGAGTGTAAACACGATCGCCGAATACATCTGGGTCAATAGGATTCTTCAGACCACAATCGTTGAGTTCTAAGCTCTCAAGCTTCGTCAGGTTGGTGAACAAGCCATGCTCCAAAGTGTGCAACATGTTGCCAGACATTATGAGTTTCTTCAACTCGGTCATCAAGATGAAGGTATTGTTGCCAACGTAGCCCAAGTTGCAATACGACATGTCCAAGTATTCAAGGGACTTCAATGGGTTTAGCAGGCGAACAAATGCGTCGGAAAGAGGATTGTGCGAGACGTCAAGTTCGACGAGATGCTCCAGATTCTCAAAAGCTTCCGGCAGTCGTCGTAGACTACAATTGCTCAGTGAGAGTTTGTGAAGCTTTGGCAGGTGACGCAGTACCGCTGTCAGATCAGCAGCGAACATGGGGTTCCCGCTAAGATTGAGTACGCGCAATTTACTCGCGTTTCTAAATGCCTCCTCCGAAAGTCTGTCTTGTAAATTGCAATTCGACAAGTCGAGCGAATGCAAACTGTGAAGATTATGACCGAGCGTACTGCCGACGTTCAGGTGTTGAAGCTCATTATCAGCAAGATTCAACTGACGTAGATACAAATTTTTGGCAAAAGCGTCGCCGGGTAAATTCGTGATGCCATTCTTACGAATGTTCAAGTGCTCGAGACGAACCAATGGGGCAAGGACGGCAGTCCAATGGAGTGAGTTCAGATCATTGTCTTCCAATTCGAGTTCACGTAAATTTTCGAGATGAGCGAACGCGTTGGAAGAGATGGACGTGAGATTGCACGCAGAGAGCTTGAGATACTCGAGACTGATGAGATAATCGAAAGGTCCGGGTTCAATACGGCCAAGTGGGTTCTGCGACAAGTCGAGTCGATTCAGGTTGGTCGTGTTACGGAAGAACTCTGGGTTCAAGTGTCTAATGCCGCAGGTGCTTATATCGAGAAACAGCAGTGGTCGGCAGTTAAGGAAGTGTCCTTCGATGTTCTCCAGAGAATTATGTTGCAACTCCAAGGTTATCAGACCGGGACTGTCCCTGCAGGATTGAATAGTTAGCACAAATAAAAGATTTTTAATCACAAGTATAGGATGCAGTTGTTCATACCTAAAAGCTTCGGGATCGACCCTGGTAATCTGATTGTATGAGAAATCGGCATCCAGCAGGTAAGTGAGCCCGGCAAATGATTCAACGGTGAGGTCGGTTAGGCGATTATGAGCCAATTGGAGTCGTCTAAGTTTGATATCCTTTGGAAAAGGTTCCACCTGCTCGATATTGTTGCCGTTCATGTCAAGTACGTAAACGTTGTGGCTGAGTCCTTCGTGGGGGATGGCAGTGAGGTTGCTCTCCGAGCAATCGGTCACCCAATTGATGCGAAAGTAGTGACAGTGACAGTCAACCGGGCAATCCTGCTCAACCATCTCGCCGTTGAAGCTGTGCGCTAGCCCGACCAGGCATATCGCCAGCAAACTAATTTGCAGCAGAACTCTCATCGTTCTCGTCCTCGCTGTCGTCGTCGAGGGCCAAAGCATCCTTATGCTGCCACCTCGATCTTCTCCGGCTCCTCCCTGCAATCACTCCACAGCACAATATTCGTTAGGCAATTGTCTGCACGAACCCCCTCCCCCTATCCAAGGCTAATTGCTGGCCATTTCATGGGTGTGCCCAAAGTCCCAAGCCCAAATGCAAATGGAGATGCGCCATCGTTACTGCTAACTTGTTGATGGGATGACGAAATTTTCTTATCTTCGTAAATCTGTACGAAAGACCAATTCTCAGAACTATGGCAGTATTGAATAATGAAGTTATGTTATTGAAGAAATAACTCGTTGGAAGTTGAAAGGGATATTTTGAATCACTGTAATACTAATTTGATACGTAACTTTGATCACTGTAATACTAATTTGATAACGTACTAATTTGAATCGTATTTCCAAAAATATTGCCTCCCACCGGAGCAAATTGTTAAAACACGTGCAAAAAATAAACGTATTTTATTTAAATAAAAAGAAAAAGCAAACTGGAAGGAAATAGAAGAGAAGTAGTTGGAATGACTCAACAAAGCTCTATTTCTCTCTCTCTCTCTCTCTCCTCCTCTCTCCTCTCTCTCTCTCCTCTCTCTCTCTTCTCCTCTCTCTCTCTCTCTCTCTCTCTCTCTCTCTCTCCTTCTCGTTCAAAACATATTTCACGCTTTTCAATTTTCGATTGAAGCTCCTAATCGATTGCACGAGATGGAGAGAAAGCGTGCTCGCTCTTTCCCTCTTGACTTCCACTCGGTCCGCAGACGAGCCGCTAAATTGATTCCATTTAGGAGAAAGGAGCGAGTCGAGCCAACGCTGCTGAATGAAGGGGGGGGTGGGGCTATATAGCCATGAATGGGGATGTTTGCTATCCTTCTTGTTTTTTTTATTGCTCCCACGGCGATGGATGCATGATTCAATCGGGTTCAACGTTACGGTGGAATCCTTCATCTCGCAAATCATAAAACACCAGTTTTTGCTTTTACGCACTTTTATCGATTCCAGCATATCCCAGCATTAATTACGCAGGTGAAATACATAAAGGGACAACGATTTAATGCATTTAAGAACGTAAGTTTTACAGTTCATCGGGGAAGATGTTGAATTACTGTTAATTATTTTTTTTATAGGCAATAACTTTCAGATATACATACAAATATCCTGTTCACAGTTGGCATCATTTTGATAGCCACTGCGAGTTTTCCATTGAAAAAATAATGACATCGATCTCTCTAGATCGCTCAAACACGCACAGAGTCTTTTAAAGTTCGCTTATTGAAGATTCAATTGTTTTAATTCATCAACTTGAACATTCATGAAATAGAAGTAATCAGTAAATTTCCATTTCAATGCACTCTTATCGACTTTTAACCAGAGAGAGAGAGAGAGAGAGAGAGAGAGAGGAGAGAGAGAGAGGAGAGAGAGAGGAGAGAGAGAGGAGAGAGAGAGAGAGGATGAGAGAGAGAGAGAGAGAGGAGAGAGAGAGAGATGAGAGAGGAGAGAGAGAGAGAGAAGAGAGAATGTAAAAAGTTCAGACGTTGCGCGCGCGAGCGAACTCTACTACCCTACGACTTTTGTACATTACATTACTTTAACGTCACTTTTCCCTTGGGAAGAAAAAGCACCGGTGCCCTCTGATTCGCATTATTGCGCAAAGTGGCGCTCGATTAAATTGATGCAAAATTACATGCCGTATCAATTATACAAACGTAAAAGTTGCAGTTTAAGAGTATTTCTCTATATAGGGCGATGAGTTTAAGGGTTAATGATGAAAACTATTCCTAAAAGTGTGGAAGCATACTCTTTGGAAAAAATTCTGATCGAATGGTTAATTACGTCGAAAATAAATGGATTTTGTTTATATTGGAGAAACGAGAAATGAATTCAGTGAACGGAGACGATTGAACGTCCCACAAGAAGCTTGTAAAAGGCATGAGTAAAGGGCCAAATAAGTAAAAAAAGTAAAGTATAGACGCGGCAAGTACACATTAGCGGGGCGAGCGAACAGAGCAGTTCTTTTTGCAACTGGCAGTTGGTCTGGGCTCGGGGCCTCATTAGAATAATTCCAATCGAATGCAAGCGAAGCGGCGAGACGCTCGATTTTCCATTCTTGACTCTTTCGTGCTAATTCTAACGCGCGTACAGGGGAGAGAGGCAGCGTAGGTACGCATCGAATTGCAAAGTGGTTGCCGTTAAGGGAAAGCGACTTGTCCGTGCGGAGTCGGAGTATACACAGCGAAGCCTTGGCAGGGCCGCTCGCTCGCTCGGAATAACAAATTCCAGATTGTAAATTGGGCCGAATTGCACGAGACGAACGAACGACCGGTCCGAGGGAGAGAGAGAGAGAGAGAGAGAGAGAGAGAATAGAGCGAGGAATTACATCGAGGTTTAGAAGGAAGTTCGGCAGCAGAGCCAACTCGAGAAATCTGGTTTTGACAGCGGCGAACTTGTTAACGGCGATGCAAATGCCAACTATGCCCCGAGGCGCACGCTCTGTCTAATCCCGCTGCTATACGCTGACGATCCGACTTCCACCTACGCACCGATGAAAACCGCTGAAAAACACTCCACATTCTTGCGTGCTGTCGGACATCTTTTTTTCCTCTCCGAGTTACGTATTCAGATTACGTATATACACCCCGCAGCCTTTCCGAAAGTCAGCCCGAGTTATTTGAGCTTTGGAGTGCTGCCCCACGAGCCGCCGCCCCCGAAATGCACTTCAACATTTTATGAATTCAGATTAGTTTTGAAACTGCAGCAAGTTCAAAAAGTTATAAGTTACTTAGGACTTTGATATGAGAGAGTAATTAGCCTTAAAATGCCATGCGGCATTAGTTATTTGAGCGACTTGTTATCGCCAAATTATTAAATCAGCCCAAGTTTCAATCTGAAAACGAAGTGTCGAGTCCAGCATCGACGTGCAATTCGACGAAACGAATTGGAATCCAATTAGTCAGCAAAAAGTCGGTCAACAAAATTACACGTCGTCCTTCTCCGTCGAGCGTTCGCGCATGTGACGCGAACAATTACCGGAGCACAAAAGCCTCGCACGCTCGGCGAGAAAGAGAGAGAGGAGAGAGAGAGAGAGAGAGAGAGACAGTAGCGTAAGCACGTGTTGGCGCGCGAGCTTTAAGGGGAGGCAATTGTCGAGAGGGTCATCGAGAGGCGAGTGCCGGAGAGAGCTGAATTGGAATTTCAAGACTGCTTTTGTCCGGCTTTAACAACTATTTTCCCGCTGGCTCTTTTCAGCTGCGCGCGCGCTGATTTTCGCGCTTTCTAATTGCGCTCGCCTCTTCGTATGCGTGCGCGCGCGTGCTACGTCACGTCGTTTATTGTGTGCCCCAAGCATTTAAGCTCAGCGAGCTTTATGTATGCGCGCA